TTCTTTGTATTTTTCTTTTTTTAGAATATCCTGCAATACTCTCTGTAGAGTTGAATTGGTGGTTGCAAATTCCCCCAGTTCCTCTTTATCCTGGAAGCACCTTGTTTTTCCATCAATTTCCAGGGACAGTTGTGCAGGATATCTCAATCTTGGCTGGAGATTATTATCTTTTAAAGCTTGAATTATTTCCCCCCACGCTCTTCGTGATTTGATGGTTTGTGCAGAGAAATCTGCTGTAATTCTGATGGGTGCTCCCTTGTAAGTGGTCTGCTTCTTGTCTCTGACAGCTTTTAATATTCTGTTCTTGTATTGAATTTCTGGAACTTTTATTATTATATGCCTGGGTGTTGCTCTGTTTGGGTTGTAGGTAGCTGGGGTCCTGTATGCCTCATACATCTGAGTATCTTTACCTTTTGCTAAATTAGGAAAATTCTCCTGGATTATTTCTGTGAGTAGCTTTTGTAGTTCATTTGTTTGTGTCCCTACTTCTTCTTTTATGTTCTTAATCCTTAAGTTATGGATCCTCTTATCATCTTCTTGTCTTTGTATTGTTGCTGTTTGTTTCTTTGTTATTTTTAAGAAGTTTTTCATTTCATTCTCCCATATTACAATTCTGCCCTCCAGTTCAGATAGTCTGTCCTTAGTTTCTTTCAAGCTGTTATGCCAGTCTTCGATAGACTTCTTAGTTTCTTGGTAGTCCCTTTGAACCTGCTTCACGTATTCTATGCTTTCCCTGTTTTCTCCATCAAACAATTCTCCCCTCTTTTTCTGTTCTTCCATTCCACCATCTGTTTTTTCTTGGGTGGGGCTTAGCATTTCTCTAACTATTTTGCATACTTCTAGCTTCAGGTCATTGATAACTTCATTCCTGAATTGGTCTATGAGGCTCTCTATATGGTGCATTATGTGTATTGGTGCGGTGTCCGCTATTGCCTGTTTCTCAGAATTGGGGGCCGAGGAGCCTTTCTTGTTGCTGCCTCTTCCCATATTCTCTGTTCCTTATATATGCAAGCTTATATGAGAGGCCCAGCTTCTCTCCCTGTCAGCCACAGCCTGATTGAATTGCACCGGTTAGGTGTTCCCACTCACCTCTGCGCACCAGGCAGCCTACGCGGGGGCCCGCCCCTCCCGGCCTCCGTCAGGCTCTGGGATCTGGGTTGGGCCAGCCTACAGGGTCCGCCGGCAGCGTCACGCAGGCCAGGCACTTTTCACCAATCCTGCCCGAGAGGGGAATGTGTGGCTGGAGTCACCACCGCGCCCTGCTCCCGCAGGACTGCTCGGGCCCAGAAAGTCCGCTGGAGTTAAACTGTGGTGGAGTGTCAGTTTCTCTCACTCACCTCGCCACAAGTCAGAACATGCCTCCCTGCCCGTCCTGTTTTCGACTCCGTTCGCAGACTCCCATTCTCAGAGTTTCCGCGCGTCTCTCTCCTTGCCGAGCCGATGTAGAGGCAGCCAGCCACCGCGCGGCGGGAAACCCAAATCGCGGCTTCCAATGGCGCAAGGTCCAGCCTCAGCAGTGAGACTTTTCTGTTCCTGTTTTAGCACCAGGACTGCATTCCAAGTTGGTTTCTCTCAGCCGAGTTCGTTCCTGAGTCAGCAGAGCATAACTTCACCTGCTTATGTCTCTTTAGTCCGCACCATACCTGGCTTCTGAGCCTAGTTTTTCAGAGAGCCTCCGGTAGTTGCTGTTATCTGTCCGCCATGTTCTCCCCTACGTTTTCTTTCTTATAGCATTTTCTATCTAAACACCTCCTAGAAACTAATAATTGCCTCATGTTTTTATGTTTTTCTATGTATTTTTCATTATTTTTTCTAAATTCTCCAAATTATTCTGCCTGTAGCCACATGTATCAGAGAATCACTAAGTTCTATTTTTCCTTGAAATTTTTTTCCTCTGGCTCTAATATTGGCTGATTTTTTTTAGGCTTTCATGCTAATTGTCTACTTATAACCTCTATTTTAGAATTTATTTTTCTATCTCTCCTTTCCATGAATTCCATGGCTTCTCTTGTAGCTTCTCCTTTGCTTTGGTACAGTACACTTTTCACTAGTTTCATGAAAAAAAAGTTTAAAGGAAGTAAATATTGAGCCCTTAACTATTCCACTTTTGCATTCCATTGATAACATGGCTAAGGTAAGAGTTATAGGTTGAAAAACTTTTTCTTCAGAATTGTGAAGGCATTCATCCCCCACCTTTGAGCTTCCACAGTTACTGTCTATGCACTACATGTGTGAACTTGTTCCTTTGTATATGGCCTGTCTTTCCTTCCTAGATGCTTATGTAGGTCATAGTATTTTCTCAAGTTTTGTGTTCTGAAATTTCAATGTAAAATTTTATGCTGTGTTTATTTTGTTTGGCTCACATGCTTTCAATTTTAAGTCTTGTCTGCAGTTCAGAAAAGTTCTAGTATAGTGTACCCTTGGTGATTTCTTTTATTTATTTTTTCTCTTATAAATGTTCATTGTTTGGATGGTGATCCTTCAAGGCAATGCTGCTAAGTTTCACTTCTTTCTCCCAACCCCAGCGTCTTGCATAGTATTCAGTTTGTGAATGATGTATGCTGCTATTTTCAAAGTCATAAATTCTATTCTTTGTTTATAGGTAAAATGTATATTTCCGTGCCCAATAAAGTGTCCATAGTTGGACATTACACTCCTTTCATAGTTGTCATGCTTCCCCTTTACAAAAGAAAGGCATAACCCTCATGGATCCTGATTCTCGCTGTGTTGTATTTTAGTGTTAAGCCTTTAGAAATGCCAAATGAAAGGCACCTGAAAGTAATTTTACCTATGAAGCCTGTCTAATTAACATGGTATAAGACATTGTATATTTTGGCCTAAATACACAAAACATTGTAGAACTGCTGGATAGTGCCAGCTTGTGTTTAGCAGACCTTACCGTGTAGTTTTCAAATTATTTATTGCTCCACAGGGAGAAACCTGTAAAAATGAAGAAAGCATCTGTAAGAAATGCAGGAGAGACTTCTGGCAGGTATTTATATGTTTACTTATGTAAAAATGAGAATTCAGATACAAGATAGTTATTACAGCAATGAATGTTAACGTGCTTAATGGAATTGGAAAACTAAGTCAGAAAGTGAGTTTGACTTAGAAAACTAGTTTGACCATGACAACTGAATTTACTCACCAGGTGACGACGGACATTTTTTAATGAATTGAGCAATCTAGATTTAAATCTAAATAAGCTAAGTCAGAACTCTGAGAGTTTAATAAGTCTATGGCCATACCACCCTTTACGCACCAGATCTCATCTGATAGTTTAGTGAAAACAGAGCATGTGATTAGATGAATTATATTATACATGCATGAAAATGTATAAAATTAATAATCTATAAATTTCCCCAACCTGTTCTGAGTATATCAGTTATAAAGGAAGCTTCCCTTAAGTGAAAAATTTGACAGTAATTGTTTTGTTCTGTCTTAATAAAGCCTTTTAGGTATGCTGTCCCCAAAATAGAGTATTATTGTGACTACTGAATAACAAGTCTCTTGGTATTTGAATCCTTTTATGCAGCAAGTTTAAAGAAGACTCTGCTAGAGTTGTTAGCTAATAGATTACTGAAGATGATGATTTTGAGAATGACTTTTTTTTTTTTGCTGGGGATACTGAGTCCTGGGGATTGAACCTATGGTCTTGTATATGCAAAGCAAGTACTCTATTATGGAGCTCCATCCCCAGCACTGAAAATTATTTTTCATTATTAGTTTTTATATTATTTTTGGCCTTAACTTAGGATAAGATCATGATATTGAATGAAATCATTCTTTCATTCTTACTTATTTTAGAAAACAATATTTTAAATAGTTATGTCCATAATAACAGCAAGTAATAATTGTATTTGCCATGAGCACTGCTTTATTTTAGGGACAAGAACTATTGATTTATTTATAGGTGAATTAACTAAAACATAATCAGCCCATACTATCACTGAAATAAGCTTCGAAGATAACTACCATTAAGTTTGAAAACAGTTATTTTGTCAAGATTCTTAGTACAACTTTTGTACCAATAATAATCATAAGTGCTACCTCAATCCAGAAAAAATATGGTTAAACATTTTGACTTTTGTAGACACAAGAAATTTTAAAAATTTGAGTTTAAATTACAGATAATTTTGTTGTATGTATAGTAAGATGATCAAAAATATTTTAAGGTGTATATTTTCATTAGTTTGCTATAAATTTCTTCAAGGGAAATGGAATGAAGATATAAAATTTAAAAAAGTAAAATTTCCAACTGCTAAAGTAAAATTTACATGTGTTCATATATGCATGAAAATTTCATATAAATATGAAAAATTATATAAGAAACATATTCTTTTTGTTTTCAGTGATTGATAGTAACACATTTCTGTAATATGCAAATTCATTAAATCTAGTACAAAAATACAGCACAGTAATTTTTTAATGACGATATACTATATTCTGAAAATTACACCCTTTTCAAATATTTAAATGTATGGTAAAAATTTTAGATGTCAACTTAATAGTTTGAAAGCCACTGACTTATAATGCTTTTTATTCTTTACTATTTATGCAACTGTAACTATTTTTTTAAAAATTGTATTCCTTTAATAAGAATGTAAGTGATGGAGAACAGGGATAATGTTTTCTAATATTTTTATTTTTGAGACAGGGTTTCTCTATGTAGTGCAGGCTGGTCTTGAACTTACTTACATAGCCCAGACTGGTCTTGAACTCATGGTGATCTTCTTGCTTCAGCCTCCTGATTGCTGGTGTGCATCACCACCCCCACCTATCTTTCTAATCTTTTAACATAGATCATAGGAGCTCAATTTAAATTTTATTGAATTATTTTTATCAAAAGGGATATTTTCTCTTCAAATACTTTTACCTGTCCTTCAATTTAGTTTTGACCAAAACAACCACTAAGTGCAAATAGATAGTTCACATTTTATTCCAAAATGAGAATAAGGAAAATACTCAGAGACAGGAGAAAATAAAACAAGTACTGTATATCTAGTAAGCCAATGTCAATTTTTAATAATGTAGTAATTTTTATATGAAATGCAGCAAGATTAATCACTCAGAAACATAAAACAATAGTATACATATACCTTTAACTAAAAGCAGTGTTTTCCTAATAATTCTTTTCATATATACCTAATTCGATGGCAGTGAAAACACTAACAGAGTGCTCAGAGTAGCTGGCAACAAATGTTTTCTCTTTAAGGTTACTAATACAGAATTTCAAAAAATATATCTGTATTTATATTTTACAGTTTATGCAGCACCTCTGTCTAGGACACTGTAAACACAGATATTGTCTAACACTGTTTTGGGTGATACACATGCACCAATTAAGCTAATAATAAGAAAGAATTTATGCATATACATTGATTTGCATGCTTATGACATTTTTGCAGTTTCTGAGAAATATCAACAAAGTTGGTCTCTTCTTGTGATTGAATCCTGTTAATTTACGGATGGAATACAGCATCTTATTTTTTATTTAACATTATCCAAAGAAAAAAATATTACATATTGATCCCTTAAAAATAACGTAAGTGAAAGCAAATTTAAAAAATACAAAACTCTTAAAGACTTTCTTGTAAAAAATATCACATTTGGATTTAGGAATTAGATAGACTAGTACTTACCCTTGATTCTTACCATTTCCTTGTTTTGAGATTTTTTTGAAGTAAAATATTATCTTGAACTTATAAAAACTCTTTTCATTTAAAAGAAAATCTATAATTATCTCATATGTAATAACCTTTTTTCCAACAGTATTTCTGGGAATATTAATTCTAGGTAACATTTACTGAGCATTCCCTTTTAATAGGCACTGTGCTTAATATTCTATGCTTAATCTGCGTGACAGTTCTCTGAGGTAGGTAACACTGTGCCCATTTTCTATGAACCTGGTTCATGAAAGGCATAAAATCCAGATGGTATATAATTACCCTGGTTTTCCTGCATTCTTCATTACACTGTGAGCTTCTTGGTGTGTGTGTGTGTGTGCATGTGTGTGTGTGTGTGTGTGTGTGTGCGTGTGTGTGTGTGTTTGTGTGTGTACTAATGACTTACTAGTACCTGAGAGCACAGTGGTGACTATGTAGAGGAAAACAGGAAATAAAATTGGAAAACACACTTTCCTACCCAAGACATGGCAGTGGGCAATAGCCAGGTGCATCAGGTGAGTGGCCAGACCAAGAATTCTAATCATATTTTGAACTAGCTAAGAGAAAACCTTATTTGTTTTACTGTATGAAAATACTTCCTCAAAAATGATACTTGGAAAATTAAGTGTTCAAGTTTGTATTTAAGTTTCCTATGATTAAATCTAAACAGTGTTATTCTTGTTTACTATAGAGTATAATGTTTATTACCTAGGGTTTTTGTTTTGTTAAACTAGTTCTTTGGTCCTTGTGTAAAGCTTTATTGCCTTCTCATTTATCCTCAGTATTTTCTACACAGTTAGCTGTGGTCTTGGTGGCTTCTACACCCTCAGACTGAAATTTTTTTTATGACATCTGTACTAAACATGTGCAGATATTTTTCTTGTCATTATTCCCTAAATAATACAATGTAATAACTATTTACATAGTGTATTTACATTGTCTTATAAGTAACCTAGAGATAATGCAATATATATAGGAGGATTTATGTAGGTTATATGTAAATACTACTACATTTTTCTCTAAGGTCCTTCAACATTTGAGGATTTTGGTGTCTGCAGGGTTAGCATGGTGTTCTGATAGATATGAAAGATGACTCTCTGCCAGGAAAAAAATGGGGAAGGAAAATGATGAAAGATCCTTAAATTACATGGAGGAAGAAAACTTCAGACTCTGAATATCTGGTGTTTGTGAGTCAGTCAAAATAACTAACTACAATTTAAAAGTAGTCTTTGGCACTATTTTAAAAAACCTTTACTGCTTTTTTTTTTTAGTAAATGAATCCAAGAATCATGATTTGGTAAATATTACATTCTCTTATGAAGGGGAAGATTCCTTTATTATTGTAACAAAGGCCTTTAGCATCCTGAAATAGTGACAAGAGCCACCAGAAACATTTTCCTGTTCTCCTACTGAAACAGTCTAGAGTTCACAGAGTTCTTGAACTAGTTATGCTCACTAGTTATCCTGAAGTCACAAGTGAAAATAGCTTTAAGTTGGCCCAACTATATTTTTTAAAAAAATTAGTCAAAGTGAAGAAAACTAATTTCATGATACTTCCATTGCCAAATTTTGCATACAGGTGAAAAACTTTAACCAAGAGAGAGGAAGTTTTTTTTTTAATTCTTAAAATGTATTTAAAGCATTTTGTTTTTCTTCCATGTATATTAAAAGAAACATAAAGAAGATTGACTCAGTGTTCCATTTTATGGGGAGAACATCCTGCAGATAACTTCAGTGCTCTGCTAAGCCTTTGATATTCATCAGAAGGGTGCATCCATATTTGTAAAGTCCACTATAAGGTGACGTCTATTTAACCATCTGTGTATTTCCAATTTGCCTATGTGGGTTGACGTTCTTAGAGCTGTGTCTACCCCATTAGTAGCATATAGTACTTACTAGTAACAGCAATAGAGGAGTAGCTTGAATGGCATCTATCTATAGTTAAGACAAAGAAGGAGGGTCAAAGGGAATGGTTGTTCTGGGGTAGGGAACATAGTGTTTCCAGGAAAATCAAACAGGGATTTTGATCAAGTGTGAAGCTGAGCATTCATGGTTTCAGGACCCCACCTTTTGGAATTTTGAAGCCATGCCTCTTAACTTGTTTGAACCTTGCTAAACAAGAAAAAATTTTTTTCTTGATGAATAGCAATCCTTTACTCCAAATGTTCCTGAGTTAGATTGATCCAATTTATTGAGGTTTGAGTAAATATACAAAATGCCTGACTCATGATTGAGTTACTTTGTAACATAGCTCAGATAACGAGTCTATGCTATAGAGTAAAACAAAATAAAACATAAAGAATGAACAGTAAGGTCTTCACATGGTTTTGCAGTAAGCACTAATATTGACTGATAATCCAATCCAGTCCTATATATGGCCAGCTAAAACCTTTTAACTGTTGAGTCTTGAAAAGCTATTTGGTTATTAACCAGAAGAAACAATTAGATGTTTTTCCTGAGTACAGGAAGATTTTTGGTATCTACCCAAAATAAATGTTTTTCTTCATAAACATATTTTGCCATATTCAGTAAATTATTCTGCATGAGAATACTGAAGAATAAAATATTAAACAAATTCTAATAAGACAGAAGCATGGTAAGAGAAATAGAAAAGTTGATTTTTACATGAATCTTACTGCCACTAGCTATATCTCCATTGGTATAAGGTCTGTGGGTCATCAGTGAATTACAATTTAACTGTTTTTAAATAGATAGATACTGGTTGTATCTCCTGGTGTCTGGTCACTCATTTAATGAAGCAATACTATATTAAAAGCTCTTCAACTTCAGGGCAATATTGTAATATAAAATAGGACTGAGAATATTAGCACTTCTTTGTCCTTTAGAGTACCAAAACAAGCTAACTATCCTTGTCATGTACTTAATTACAGTCTAACCACTAAAAATAGATAGAGTCTCTAAGTTAAAAAACACTTTCCTTGGTAACATTTGTTAACATTTCTGATCAGAGCCAATGCAACACTTTAAAAAATAAAATAATACTTTGAAATATGTGCATAAACTTCTTGAAGAATCTAAAATATATAATTTCCTTCCTGTTTTGTACATATAAAAAAGCAAACTGTCTTTACACAGTCTCTGTATCTCTAAGGAATTCCATTTCTACTGGAGCTTTTGGCTGTTGGGCTGAGCCACTCTTCTTTCGGAAGTCTGCAGCAATTTCCTCAAAAGACTTTCCCTTAGTTTCTGGAACTTTAAAAAATGTAAACAGAGTAAAGACCAGGACCACTCCAGCAAAGAGGAAAAACACATAAGGTCCACAGAAGTCCTGGAAAAAGAGCAAACACAGAGTGACAATTAGCAGCTGTTTGACTTGTCATCTGTTCAGTAAATTTACACAGTGTTGGGTCACTTACCGCAATGTACTGGAAACATAAAGCTATAATGAAATTGCAAAACCAGTTGCAGAAGGCTGCCAGTGCTAGAGCTGTAGGGCGCGGTCCTTGGCTGAAGAACTCGGCCACCATGAACCAGGGGATCGGGCCTGGCCCAATTTCAAAGAAACTGACGAAGAGAAAGATGGCCGTCATGCTCACGTAACTCATCCAAGCATACTTGTCCTGAAGAAAAGGTAAACAGGAACAAAATTGAGACTGGAGTCCTTGGTCACTGTTCCTTTAGTTAAATAGCTTTTCACAGATTTCAGATTTGGATGCAGCTCTCCTAATACATTTATGTTCAATCAAGTGCCAGTTATTCTAGTCTTGGGACATGTTATTCTAGTCTGAATCATTCTTAAATCCTTTGAATTCCACTACAGACAATCTTTACTTGATAGTTATTCTCTTCCTGTGAAAGCCAAGGCAAAGATCCAGTATCCTTTTCTCTCACATAAACCAAGGAGGCTAGATGAGCTGTCTGACTCCTTGTGAAGTTCCAGATGAGGACTCTAGACGGGGAGAAATTCCAGGTACCTGCCCAAGGTTGAAAGTCAGCCAGGTGACAGAATCAGCATTAGAACTCATTTGGGACCCCAGAGCCTGTGCTCTAACCACATGATGACATTACCTCCCAGGACAATAAGCATAAGTGGCATGCTATTTAGTCTCTAATATCAAGAAACTAGATTCTATTTTCTTTACCTTTCACTTCTGTATTATATACCTTTCCTTTGGCTTTATTTTATAAGTTTTTGACCTACAAAACCTTGAACTTGGAGCAGCGAAATGTCGTCACATGGACCAAAATGATCAGTCCTGACAACAAACCCACCAGTAGCACAAGTCCCACTGACATGAAGATGGCACAGAAAAACATCCCGCTCATTCCAATTAGAAACAGAGAGCGCCGTCCTGCCTTCTCCACAAGCAACACCTAGGAAAGTTAAAAAAAAAAATACCGTCAGTTGTATGAGCTACAATGTATTGTCCTGTCATTTAAATCACTTTAATTTATATGGTGAGAAAGAAGTAAGGTTGTTACATTTTATAGATATTAGATTAAGGTACAGAATGACTTTTGCCCAAGTGGCAGAAGTAGTGTCAGCGAAAAAGTATTATTTGGGTCACAATGACTCAAAGAGGCCATTTTAGAGTTAGAACCACAGGGTTACCACTACTATAAGATTATCCCATGGTAGTCAGACCTGTATTTATTGAATCTCTTCTAATAATGTACATTAAAATGACATTAATTTTCTCCTGATGCTTCCCTTATCATTACAATGGTTTGTGCATTACAGGCATCTATTGTGCAAACAGGGGAACTCTTCAGGTGGCAGTATTTTTTATTCAATGGTCTCACTATTTGGTAAAGTCAAATTATGACTATTCAGCTGGCAATATACAGAATTTGATCACTGTACCAAATAAGCCTGCATTTTTCTGGTGTACGTAAATGTACGTGGTGCTGATATTGAATTATACATTTGAAAATTACCTAAAGCTGTATTGAAGTTCTTCTTTAATTAAGGGAAAACATTGTTGAGTCCTTTGAATATGTGAACCTTTGTATTAATGGTTAAGATTTATAGTTAGCCATGATTAGTTGAATGCACTGTTGCCTGTCTAATCCACTGAATACTGCCAAGGCTGCCCCCACACTGACACACACCCACACTTGTCGTATCTTGTCATTTCAATAGATAAAGGCTCATTAATAATCAGTAGCAACCCAGTATCGTTAGCAGGGTGAGCTCTGGTTCTGAAAATATTTTAAATGTATTTTAGTTACAATGAAAGCACTTTTTATCTCATTCATATCAAAGTTCCTAATCACTTCAGAAAGGAGGGTAGGCAAAGAGCTTATATTTAATTAATTGTTGAGAAAGAAATGGGAAAAACTCAGACCTTTCTTAAACACATAAAAATTCTCTTACATCTAATTATGGCATTCAAATTGACTTGATATTCCATGACAAGCTACCATAAAAATAAAAGTTTTTCTAAGACATAATAGCTCTTACTATACATGTTTCTCTTATTTCTGAAAAATTACTTAACTGAATAATAAACTCTAAATCGAGGTGCCTTAAAAAGCAAGTTGAACTCTGTTCTTGAGGTTGGATGTGTACTCGGGAGTACATGTGGCAAAGAGTGAACATGATCAGGAGCTGGCGGCATCTATCTGAGCACAGCCTCATCCTTGCCCCAGACTACATCTATCAGTCGGATCCCAGGGGCCTAGTTGGGTTTGCTAGTTCCTGCTTCTCCAGGGGTCATCCTGCTATATTTCTACCAACCCATTAATGTGGAACAGAATTTTGTGAGAATTTAGGAAAGTATATCACTTTTCCCAAAATGACTCAAAAAAAAAAAAAAAAGATAATGTTGCTTCAAAGTTGGTGAAACATTAATATATTATTAGTGCAGATTCCTGTTTGCATATATTTGCTTGAAAGGGTGCATGGTTTGGTAATACTGGTCAATTTGAGGCAGACAAACTGGGTGGTTATTGTGGTCCCTTTTTTGTATTTTTGAACTTTTAAACAACTTTTCAGAAAATTTAAAAATGTTATCTGTACTCCTGAGTGTTAATGAGATGATTAGAATTATTTTTAATTATATCATGCATCTGCTCAAAAACAGAAACAAAGGATGAAATCTGAAAAGGTATGTTTAAAATAACTATTGACACAAATAAAACAACTGTTCCCACTCCAAAAGGGGTGGGTGTGGAGTGCAGAACTGAAATTCTGCAGAAATTTCTACTTTAGATTTTCCCAGGCTTTGGGTTACTCATTCTTGAAAATTTGATGCTTCATATAGTAAATCCTATTATAAACATATTTTAATATTAAATCTCTGCTATAAAAATGTGTTGAAATAAAATTTATAAAATTAATCCAAGAGACAAAAAAACCCCTCTTTGCAAATAGTCCCTTGGATTGCATCTGAAAAGGCCTTCATTGATTTATGGTGGCCTTTTGGCTTAGCATGCATCACCTCTAGAGTCATGTGTACAGAGATACTGGTGTTTTGTTGTTTGTTCTTCTTCCTCTTTCCAAAGTCCAGCACTGTGTATTGTAGCCTGGACAAATTTATGTTTTGGTCTAGGTATCCAGGCTGTAATTCATTGACCACATTAAGGAAATAGTTAAAATATGTATGAAGACAAAGAATTACCAGGAGCTAAAATAGAGTATAATCTTATGCCCAAAGTAGAAAAATATAAGCATTTTGAGCATTTTATATTCAAAGGTAAATTAGTGCAGTTACCTTTATTTTGGAATGAATTACATTAGTTCATAAGTTTTTGTCTTTGTTGTTTTTTATTTTTAGAACATATTAACTATTACTGCTGTCAATATATTAGGTTATTACTTCTAGAAGGTTTTTTACTTTAAGTAGAGGATGTAGCCTCTTTTTTTGTAGGAGAAATAATGCATTTTTCGTGAATGCTTCTATACCATCCTCTTATACCACAATATTCTTTTTTTGCTTTTCCTTTTTATTGGTGAATATTAGTTGGGCACGTTAGTAGATTTTATTTTGACACATTTGCCCACGCATATAAAATACTCCTTTCTCCTGCCCATTAGTCCCTTTCCTCTTTCCGCACCGTGCCCCTTTCTCTTTTGATCATCTCCTTCTACTCGTGAGTCATCCTCACTTCTCTTTTCCCCAGTAGACTCCTCATGTAAGCAGAAACATGCAATATTTGACTTTCTGCTTCTGGGCTATTTCATTTAACATGATGATTTCTGGTTTTCTCTATTTTCCTGTGTGACTCCAACATGGTTTCATTCTTCTTAATGAATATATATATATCTTCTTCATCTATTCATCTGTTGATGTTCATTTATTGTGAATTGCACTACAAAAACATGCTGATATTGGTACATCTCTATATGATACTGACTTTGTTTTTAGGAATATGCTGAGCAGTAGCACAGCTGAATCAAATGACATCTCTACTTTCAGTTTTTCAGGAACCTCCATACTGATTTCCTGCTCTACTAATTCACATTTCCATCCACAGTGCAGAAGGAGTCCCTTCTTCCTCCATATCCTCATCAGGATTTATTGTTTTTTGTTTGATGGCCAGTCTGACTGGGAGAGATGGAATCATAGTGTATTTTTGGTTTGCATTTCTGTGTAGGTTAGGTTGTGACAACTAAAGTGGTTGAACATTTTTTCCAAATATTTACATTTGCACTTCTTTTGAGAAATATCTCACTCAACACATTTGTCATTAGCTGTAGGGCTATTTAATTTTTTGGTGTTAACTTGTTTGAGTTATTTATATATTCTACATGTTAGTCCTCTCTGTAGGAAAAGAAGGTAACAAAGATTTTCTCTCATTCTGTAGGCTATCTCTTCACTGTAATGATTGTTTTCCTTTGATGTCACACATTCTCTTATGCATCACTAGAAGCTATGCTTTTGGGAAGTACCTGCAAAGTTTGCCCAATAATCTAACATGATAAGAATTTGCTGAGTTTTTGAATTCTGCCTAAAGTCTTAGACGTTTATTACAGAATATCTTGTTTATTATTTTTATGATTTTTTTCCTCTAAGGCATCAGGCTAAAAAATACTTCACCCAAGAAAGAAGAGAGGTATTGATAGAAATGACAAGCTGTTGGGTAATCTTAAGGAGTTTAAATACAGAGCATAGGAGAAGAAACCCAAGTATTTACGCAAAGAGAAAGTCCCTGTACCTCCTAGTGAATTATTAATTCATCAGTAAATGGCCAAGCGGGGAATGGTCCATTTGCTCAGTTATGACTCATCCCTGTGCAGTGGTTGGCTTATTCACAGAGAAGACTTCTTTCGTGAACTACTTAGCTCTACACATTCAGGTTACATGGGAAAAAAAATCATTGATCAGTCTTAGGTCACAAGTTTCTTTCCCCATTCCTGGGACCCAGGAACAAACAATGTTTATTTGGAATATTGACTTACAGAGACAGCAGTGAAAACCAGGTTGATGGCGCCAACTCCGATGGTTGCATAAACAGGCTGGCTGATTCCTGCTGTCTGAAAAATACTGGTTGAATAGTAAAAGATCTGCAAAGTAAAAATAGGTTGGCCTTAAGCAAGCAGCCTTGCGCTGATATGTTTACTACAAGAAATGTCTAAAATTGTATACTTTATGTTTCTATAAGTTCTAGAATTTAAAGATTTTTATAGTGCCCTCTTGAGAACCTAGACTATCTTGTTTAAAACTTCTGACTGGTTAAAGTTCTCCCTTATATTTACCTTAAAACTCTGTTACTGCCTTTTAAAATTCTCTTAATTTCTAAACTTTTGTTAAAGGATAGCATGTATAAAACATACACATAAGTGCACAGCTCAATTAATTTGAAGAAACTGATCATATCTGTGTAATCAGCACCCAGAACAAGAAATAAATCATTTACAGTGCTACAGAAACTCCATGCATAATCTCACTTACTCAGTGTTCCAAGGAAATTACCCTTCCAGTATCTTATATCACAGATAAATTTTGCCTAGTCTTACGCTTCATAAAAAGAGAAACACATAATATGTCCTATTTTGTGGTTGCCTTTTTATGTTCAGTATTACCTATGTAAGAATCATCTTTACTGTTGTGTATATCTACAGACTATTAATTTATATTACTATATAATATTTTATTATAAATCTACCATAATTTAGTTACCCACGCTAATTCTGATGACTTTTGAGGTTGCTACTATTAGGGATGATTATGAACAGTGCTGCCAAAAATTCTTTTGGTGAAATATATGTGCTTTTATGTCTTGTGATAGAATTGCTAGGCCAAAGTACATGCACATGCTCTGCTTTGCTGGGTAATGCCGACACTTTCCCAAAGAAGTTATGACAATTTTGTATGCTCACCAGTGTGTGTGAGTGCTGCTGCTATTGAATTTGATTTGAACGGTTTTCTTTATTTGATTTCTTAGTAATTGCTTTATTATTTTTTTTCTGTAGGTAATTGCCAGTAGAACCGTTTAGTCTGCATGACCCAGGGTTTCAATCCAGAAATTAAAAGCTAACGGTTTAATTCTTGGCATATTTTTCACTCATGTCTCCTCTACCATACTCATCCAATTCACTCTATTTTTTAATTTTGTGTGCTATCTCCCTCAAATAAAAGTTTTTGTTTGTTTTTTGGCAAGAAATTGTTTTTGCATCTACCTATCTTGTATATAGTACTTCATTTAAATAAAGGAAGCTATTGACTCTTAGAAATCCTAAATTTCATACTCCATTCTTGAAGCCTCATGCAACTTAGGGTTTGTTTTGAAGGAATATACTTCTCCTTTTTCATCCTTGCATTTAGTATGACTTTTGTCTCTTACTTTCTTCTTAATAAGAAATAAAGTACTGTTGATTGTTGACATTTTTATATATTTGAGTTAATTTTAGAAAATTATGGAAACAAAGAACAAAAATTTATTATCACTTAATATATATTTGTTATACTAACTTCTGTTGTCAATATTTCAAAATATCCTTTAGTTATTTAAACTTATGCTTGCCTTCTTCCTGTTAATTTACTTTGCTTTCCCATAAAGTTACAAGGTGTCCTTAAACTTACCCCATTGATTCCAGAAAATTGCTGAGCCATGTGCAGCATCAGTGCGACTATCATAGGTGTTCGGTAGCTGGAATTGGTGAAGAGCTTGGTAACAGATACCTTTTTCTCACTTGATGCTTCTTCTTTTTCCTTTTTCATTTCATTCATGTCTTTAGTGACATCATCACTTCCTCTGAGTCTTTTCAAACCTGTCCCCCAAAGTGATCAAGTTGAGACAACCCAAGTCAAACAAAAATAAATTTATTTATATTATGTTAATGAGAGAGCTACAATTCTGCGTGTCTCTTTATATTACCTAATAGCATGGTCATCGGAAATATTTTTGTTGTTGTTGTTAAATTAAATGATGCTCTTCAATTTTAAAAAGGCAGAACATCTGGATTCATATCATGATAAAGAAATCTATGATCCTTATTATCATAGAAGCATAATACTAGAAATTCTTTTGAAAGCCTCTGGTTAAGTCTAGTACCCTATAGGAGGGTTTTGGCTTAGGCTTGGGTTTGAGATTGTATGTACCAGTCCTATCAAACATTTGTGGATGTGAGATGCTAAGCCCCATCAAAGTGATTTTGCCCATTCTTCTCATATGTAATCTCTGACTTAATTTGGAAGGTGCAGAAACTAATTTCATGAGCCACCATTAACACATACTATTTTGCCTTAGCTGATAATTTAAAAATAATAGGATGAAAGAAAAACTCTATGGACTTACTTTGCTTTGCTTTGACTTCTTCTTCCAACTTGATATAAAGATATCTGGGACTTTCTGGACAGAAGATTAGGAACAGAGACTGCAAAAGAGCTGGTACAGCAGACAGGCCAAACATTATGTGCCACAGGTCATGATTGCCCAGGATAAAGTCAAGGCCAACAATCTAGGAGGATAGGGGAGGAAGCATATCAGCTGTATAACACTTTAGGTCTGCCTTCTAGAACAAATCGTCATCAGAATAAGGACATTGGCTATTTAATTGTAATCCCAGCTAGGCATGGAGGAGCACATCTGTAATTGTAGCACTCTGGTAGGTTGAGATAGGAGTCTGAGCCTAGTCTTAGCAAGTTAGTAACTTAGTGAGTTCTTGCCTCAAAAATAAATAAATAGGGTGGACTTGTAGGTCAGGTAAAAGCCTTAGGTTCAATCCCTAGTACCATTAAAGAAATAGTAATTCTTATCAACCTCAGTTCATAAAACTACAAGATGGAAACAGTTTCTAGTATATTTCACTTTAATCAAATTAAGGACAATTTTTTGGACAAAGATTTCATCTCAGTTTGTTTTCATTAACTCCAATTGGACACTTAGATTGGGAATTAGCCCAATTTTATGGAGACTAATTTTTTTTTTTACCACTATCAGGGATCGAACTCACGATCACATGCTTGCAAAGCAGGCGCTTATGCCGCTGAGCTAAATCCCCAGCCCTTCAACCCAATTTTAAAAACTATGTTTGAAATGTAAAGCAACATAAGGTTGTAGTCTCCAGGCAACCAAATGGAATAATAGGATCAAAAACATGCATACCTTAGGGCTTTGCCTTAAAATTCTTTCTTTTTTTATTTTTTATTTTATTTTATATTTTTGGTACCAGGGATCGAACTCATGCCTCAGTGCTTGCAAGGCAGGCACTTATGCCGCTGAGCTAAATCCCCAGCTCCTTAAAATTCTTTCTTAGGTTAGAGTAAATAAAATGGGTTTCATAGAACAATTACTGAAGCAGAATCAGCTGTCTGATCCCAGTTGCAATGGTCTATGTACTTCTTTCTGGATCATACTTGTGGGCTTCTGAGCACTTCCTCTGAGACCACAAGGAAGAAGGAAAAGGATAGAGTCAGCTAAACAAGAACTTCGATGGTCGTCCTCTGCCTACTAGATGCTTAAAACAAAGCAAACACAGGCAGTCACAAATTTGAGGCTTGCTATTCCTTGAAATCTAAGTGGCATAATTTAATTATTCCTGGAATAGTATTGGAAATTTCACCTCTAATATCAATCCCACTTCTAAGTTCTAGGGGAAAAGTGAGGAACGGTAACAACTGGCTTTTGAACCAAAAAGCCTTCTCTCTTACCACGTCCACAACCACACTATTGGAATCTTTTTTCCTCTTTGTGGGTCTCAGTACGAGCACTCAGTCAGGGAGGCAGAGAGTAGATTAAGTAGGTGGATGAAGTAGAGGGTGTGAAATTTTTACCTGACTGATAAGAATGCCCGTGACAATGGCCAGCTGATGAAGGGTGCCAAGAGCACCCCTGAGCGAGGTTGGAGCAATTTCCCCAATGTACATGGGAACCAGCCCTGAAATTAGCCCTGCGTAAAACACGAATATGAATGTTAAAGTACATCCAGAAATACTTTAATAACATTGATTTAGTCGAAATACAGTCAATATCATGACTGAAAGTCTCATCCTGAAGAAAGAGCCCTTGTTCCCAGCCAAAAACATAATTTATGAAAAAAAATTGCTGATACAACTCTAAATGTTAATAGAAAAAACACTCATCTATGTGGCATTTTTTCATCATGTTTCAGTATAAGAAGTGTATGTCACTATTTAGTCTATATCATGATGGCTCAGACAATCGTAAGAAAGGAGACTGGAAAGGAATGAGAACTTCACTGGGCCAACCCCTTGATAGAGATGAGAAGTGACTTGTCCAAGATCACAGTAATAACAGAATATTACTAGGAGAACTAGGAACCTAACCGAATCTTTACAAGGCCCAGGTGCTTCAGGAACACTGTCGGGTTGCTGATGAGGATGTAGAATGGTGGAAGAAGTTAAGGAACTATTGAACTCTTTCCCCAGTCACTCAAATCAGAGCAACCTTGCTTCTCTATTCAGTTCAAATATTAGACACTTTGGGGCTGGGGGTTTAGCTCAGTGGTGTAAGTGCCTGCTTGGCAAGCGCAAGGTTGTGAATTTAATCCCCAGTACCAAAAAAAAAAAAAAAAAAAAAAAATCAGGTGCTTCAGAGAAGATTTTATTTGAAGTAAGATCTTTGATGCTTGAATAAATACGAAAAATTGAAAAGCACTAGGCCATTCTGCCTGTTGTAACCTTTTTAACTACACACAATCAGTCATTTTGGAAATAGTGGTATATTCAGTCATTTGCTGACTGTGATGTTTAAGAGTTTTTAAAAAATTTAAAAATGATTTTTCAGATTTTGAGTTATATTTTGCCTAATTATCAAATATAAGTGGGTGATCTTTATGTAAATGATGCTTTCAGCAAATATGTTCCCTTCTTCTTTTCCTTCCTTCCTTCCTACCTTCCTTCCTTTTCTTCCTCTCTCTCTCCCCCTTTCTCTCTGTTGTGTGTGTATGTGTGTCTTGAAATTGTTCTTATATCTCAAATATATATTTATATGGTATGGCATCTGTACTTCTGCAGAATTTATGGTCCATTTAGTGTAAAATAAGAAAACCTCATTTATTTGGTCCTTTTGAGGTTGTACTACCTTTGTATAATCCCTAATCCTATACTTCACAATCACAATGATGTAAATAAATTCACAAGTCTAAAGCCACATAAGCCCAAAGTAAAATTCTATTTCTTGTATTTTTAGTTACTTTAATACTAAGAATAGGGTGACCCATAATTTTAATAGATGGTTGGAGTGTACAAGAGCCTTGAGAATATTTACAGCATTTGTTCTCAATTTAAAAAAAAAAAGAACCAGAATTTTTATGCTGTATTTTTAAAAAATGAAGAGGAAAAAAAGAATCACGATTTGTATCTTTTCCACACTGTTATCTGCTTTACCCAGAAGAAGAAACTGAGGCTCAGACTTAATTAATACTGCCTACGGCCAGAAAGAGATAGTGACAGAATTGATTCCTCTGAATCCACAGTTTCTTCAACTTGTAGACTCACTCTTCACCTTAATAGGGCCATTATGACCTTCAGTGATCTGTATTAACATCGACAGTAATGAAAAGAGACATTTAATTAAGCTGTCAACGTGGGTATGGTAGGCTTTTACTCACACTGATCATTGAAAACACATGGAATTATAGTCTTTTATGCAAATAAAAGTGTTAGAAATATTTTTATACACACAAGTTTTGGACCCTCATCATTCCTTCTCCATTCCAGTGAATATTAGTGCTTGGAAGGGTAGTACAATTTGTAAAAATGGTTAAAACCTTGGCTTAGAACCTTCAGAACCAAGGATTCACCGGTGTGAAAAGTTAAACAGTAGTTCATATGTTTTAGAAATTGAATTCCTGTCTTTGTTTGGATCTCTGCTAATTAGCTGCCTCAAAATTTTGAAAAACTGTCTGTCTCCCAGAAACGGTGAATCCCACTGGTCAGACGTAAAGTTCACAGGTGAGCACCCTCAATTCTGACTCCTGTACGAACGGCTTCTGCCTGATTTCCTCTGCTAATGAACACCGCCACTTGCATGCATCGCGCAGCCAACTCTGGAATCGGATAGGGCTAGAAAATAGTTTCTGGAAGACGTTGGTCCAAGGGTACAGTCTTGCTGCATGTGAGGGAGGAAGGACACACACAGGTAGGCAAAGGTGCCATTTTTCGTGGCCCACTACACCACAGAAATAATAAAAGCTACTAGCGTTTATTGGCAGCTTACTGTACATCTGACTTTATCCTGAACACTTTACATGCCTTCTTATAATCACCTGGTAGCACAGCTGTTATCTTCATTTTATACATGACAAACCTTAGATGCAGAGTTAAATATATGCCCGAGATACAACAACTAGAAATAAAGTTATTACAGTGGATAGGAACATTGTATCACAATTTCTGCTCACGATCTCAAACCCTGCCTCAGGACATCACAAACTCCATGCTATTAGCTTTCTTTCTGTGATCTCACCCTAGGCTCAAAAATAATCATGTATGTTACCACACAGTACTTTTTAAAGGTTTTATTTGTGTGTGTGTATGAGAGACAGACTTACCACAGTAGAGTCCTGATATGCTTCTTCCTGCAATCACGAGAATATGAGATGGCCCCAGTTTGGCACACCCCATCAAGAGAGCTCCAGCTAACGAGAGACTGTTTGCTGCCAACAAGGCTTTGATTCTGAAATTTAAAAAAAAAAAATAAGATTTCAGCATCAAAACTTAATAAAAACATTTGCATTCAGAGCATGTTGAGATTTTTACCTAAAAGCGATTATTTTAATTTTGCTTTAAAGCTAATTTAGGAATTTTGAACCAAAATTCTCACTTGATCTCCTTATACTAAAGTATTAACAGAAAGAAATATTTCTGATGAGAGAATCTGGGCTTCACACACTGGTCTCCACACTGTGATACAGAGGGACAGTTTGATTTAACACATTTTCAAATAGCAGTTAACTAAGTTTTCTACAAAGTTTTCCACAAATTTTCACTGCTTTGAAAAATGATTATCAGATGATATATTAATTTAGCTCTATAGTTATAACATATAACTTGTTTTTTTCTTTAATTTTTTCTTTAAATAGTAAGAGCTTTTAGTTACATACTTGAGGAAATCTGAATTTGCCAACCTAAATCCACAAAAACAGTGGCCATAGACCACTGTTGATGGTTATAACAATTGAAAAGACAGATTTTTTTTAAAGGAATGATAGAAGGAACACATTTTTATTTATTTAGTTTTAACTAGTGGAGATATGATTCTGCCAATAAGAATAATGATGTCATTTCTCAGTAACTTTCCCTAGAAAAATAGTTTTATGAGAGACACTGAACTTTTTGGTCTTTTTATTTTTTATGACGTTTTCAAGGAAAATAAAAGAAACTTCATTTTGCTTTATGACAAACCATTTAACAAATGGTTTTTTGACATTGCTTTGGATAGGACCATTGTCCTATCCCAAATGCAAAATCCTAACACTCCTGAGGATATGCATCCTGGCTTCATGGCTAGGACACTTAATTTAGTGTTTTAGGCTAGTCAGTAGACTTGTCAGAATCTCTTCTTTAAATAAGGGTCAAAGATTTAAATTTTTCTGCAGGGCTAGGAAGTAGCTTCTAAAAATTGATTTGTTCATATTTTAAGATTTAATCGTGTTTGATTTATTTTAGAAATAATCCAGAGCATTCTCCATTTATACAAAAATAGTGCAAACTGAAATGATTGTTACATCTTTTAAATGATGAAAATCAGTTCATTTTGTTTATTACAAATTCGGATTTACATTTTAACCACATACCCAGTGAGTTGATAAAAATGTAAAAACCCAAACTTTTTCTTTTCTCATGCAGGAAACTCTTCTTCAAATAATAAGAATAAGACTTGGATTGCCATAATACTCTTTAGTTACAGAAACTCAGTATAGTCTTATTGTATAAAGTTCCAGTATAAGGAAGAAATTGTCAGAATCAAAATAAATACACAGTTATAGGTATAACTTATAGTAGGAATTGGGAAACTAAATTAATTATAATCTAGCATTATTGTTCCTGTTTTGTTATTCATGCCTTTAAAATTTTTGTCAAAGCAAAATTTTCTGTATTTGGCTTATATTATTTTTAGCATAAAAGAAAAAATCAATCCACAGAAGTTGTGCTCAGAAATGTAAATAAATTTAAAGAAGTAATCATTCATTTTCTGATTTCTTCCCTATGTAGGCCAGGAAATTCCCCAGCTTTAGTATGTCACGTAACTAAGGGCATAGCGGAGGAGCACTGCTGATGTCTCTTTTTTCTTTTTGTGTTTTTGAGACAAGGTCTCACTATTGCAGTTCAGGCTGGCCTTGAGCTCAACTGCTGATGTTTCTAATCTAGAGCTGCTCATAGAAGCCGGAGTTTAGAAACACTTTATCTCACTTTACATTGAACTGGAACTAGGAGGCAGCAGTGGCAGCAGTAGACAGAAACCCTATTCCAAGACTGTGAGGCTACTGGGAGTTGGCAATGCTGAACTGATCTTCAGATCTGGCTGATACAAATGCTAAATTCTCACTTAAAAATAAATAAACTGGATTTTTGAGAAATGGTGTGATTTGAAAAGCAATAGTAGATTTTCAGTTTAAAAATTCAGGTCTTCTGCTGAGGCCCTGAGTTAACCATTTATCTAGTGGTTTCTTAATATGTTTTATAACATTCAAATCCAGAGAGTCAGAGTGATTACCTAAAAATGATCTCCAAGTTCACTTTCTTGTAAATGCTTCCACAATTAACTAAATTATTGCAACAGCATTTTTCATTGATTTGGTCTAGTATTGACCTGTCTTATAGGGTTATGAGTTGAAAAATAACCAGTTTCATGAAAGGAAAAAGTATCTGTTGAAACAAATTCGAAAAATCTCAAAACGCTAAAGTCTCTGTTTATGATTATTTATGAAATATACCTACCTTCCAAGCTTGTCCCCAAGCCACCCACCAAAGAATGATGCAATCATTCCACCCACTGCAAAGGTAGATACAGACAAGGACCAGAGCATGGTGATTAGGCCAGTAGATGTCATAGTCTCCTCCTCAGGCCTGGGGCCTGGTGTTGGGCCCCCTGGGTATGAGATTGTGGGCAATGTATCTGTAGTGTTGATAACATAGTTGTTGGTAGCCTTTCGGTCATCCAGTGAAATGCCCAAAACATTTCTATAATGAGATATTATTATCTGCAGAAATAAAATAAAGAAGAAAAATCCCAATATTTCAAACATCCTATGTATTTTTTATTTTCCATTAAAATATTTGCTAGGTATTTAAGGAGCATCACCCCAAATATATGGGTTATAGTTTTGCAACATGGATAGCTTTATAGTTAATAATATAAAGCAGAGGTCACAAATCCAATATTAGCAAAAACCATGCAAGAGAAATTAAGTGAAATAGACATGGAGTATCTTGACGTCCAAAGTGGTGAAATATATCCTATATGCTGGAGATGTAATTGGGAATAGTTAGTTTGGAGAGGGGTAGCATCTGCCCCACCTAAAGGAAGAAGCTGGAAAGGCAGGACTGGTGTTGGATGACCTTTAATTTTTAAATAGAATCCAAAAATCTGAGTCTTTGTTTAGAAGCCTTCAGGTTTTAATGGCTGGCAAATATTTAAATTGAAAATATTCCTCAGGTTAAAAAGACATGTTTTTATGTCAGCGTTACTTTTATACAACAGGATTTAGGTATTCTAACAGAAGCATAAGAAGAGACTGGAAAAGATAAGATAAAGGTCAATAATAAAGTTAATACTCTACAAAATTCGAATGCTAGGTGTATTATCTCTGTACAGACTCATTGCTAGACTTCCTAGCAGCCAGGGCAATGAGAAGAAAATAATCAGGAACATGATTGATGAATTCCAAAGACAAAAACAACTCTGTGGATCCTGAGATGTGAAGCCTTGAAGGAAGTTCGTTTTATGGGTCCTCATGGAGCAGCGATACTGAACCTATGGTGTGCATGCCACAGCAAACTGTTGTCACTGAAGGCTCTAAAACGTGAGCCATTACTGTCATAGAGTTTAGTGTGGCACAGAAGAAACAATATTTAGAATTAAATCCATGGACTCACATTTTATAATGTGCTTCAGTAGATCCTAGGGTATAATCAACTAGAAGCACAGCAGAGCAGAGCTATGAAAAACAAGTTAGGAAAGTGGTAGATATTATCTGACATTTTACAAAAAGGTGATAATCCAAATAATCACAGAGAAAATTCAAACTTTGTTGTACCTCTTGACCAGCATTAAACTTTTGTATTATTTTATATTGAATGACCTGTGGGAGACAGGAATGGAGTGAAAGACTAAAGTTGCTTTAGAGTTAGGACTTCTAAAGGTTCCTATCTGGCCTGGAAATAGGTGTAATAAAGTGGTTGAGAGGGTCTGGCTCAGAAAAATATAGGTTAAAGTGCCTGATGCAAATAAGTAGGTGCTCAATAAACATATGTAGAATGAAACATATCCTTTTGTAGTTTCCTCTTACTCTCTGGCATTTTTGAAAACACTTGTGCATGGGTGAGAACTTTGAATGTATGCTGCAATGAGCTGTCTGGGCAGGTAGTATTTATGTGAGCTCAGCGAACTGCAGAGTCAGAGATCAAGCATTATTTATTGCTTTATTTTTTCCTGTTGGCTGTTAACTGAGGGGTCAAGGCCAAGTTATCAGCTCTGGAACCACGTGCATTATACTTGGCAGGCCAGGATTACCCTGTGTCCCCCACGTGGCCACACTTTATCTTCATGACAGAACTTGCCCCATGTTCCACTTGCCTGTTGAGGTGCATTGATCACACCTATGTCATATCCAAACTGGAAAGAACTCAGGACCGCAGTGAAGACAGTGAAAACCAAAGTTCCAGTGATCTGTGGGATGAAACACAGAGCGGGGGTACATCAAGCAGTTCAGCACCCACCATTCTGGAGTGTGGACTTCTTACAGGAGCCACAGGCTGATTCTTTCCCCTCGCAAACCTTTCACAGTATGCTTTGTGCTCTGCTGGGTGGGTGTTGTTTATCTGAGAATGTGAAAGTCATTCATCATTTTCTCTATAGTAAGTAATAAAACTGAAAAATACTTGAGACAGCTTTTTCCAGGAGAGGAACGAAGCATCCTTTTCTTAACGTGTATATTTTAAGATTCAAAATCAGGACTGAGAACTAGAACTGCTGCTGAAGCAAAGAAACTGCTAGGGTCATAGGTCCTTGGGAGAACTCATATATAATGTCAGTGGCAGAGAAAGGGAGAGCTTTCTGGACTTTGTTACAGAACACAAGCACTTTGGCAGTCATATGAGAAGTGCCAACCACGTTTTATCATGATTACATCAATATTCAGGTCGTGTACTTTATGGAATTTGCATCTAGTTGAACCTAGAGTTGTGGGTTAAGCTATATTACGTTCTCCCCAACTCCATGAAGATGCAATATAACTGAAAAGCATGACCCTTTTCATCTCATAATTATAAATCTGACTACTTGAAGAAATCATATTATGCATACAGATTGACATATAAGGATATTGCACAGCACCTTGTGTGTGTGAGATAACAAAAATTACACAAAGAATGTAAATCACTCCATAGTAGATAGTCAAAGAGATTCAAATAATCATGACACATGTATCAGATGTATACAACATGCTATATGGGAGTTAAAAAATGTATGATTAGATGAACTGACAACTGACATAGTCTACTGGTTCTAAAATGAGACCCGATTTGGAGAGCTTGGTAAAAATGTAGCCTCCTGAAATTTACCCTGGACCACCTACTGGATTGGATTCTCAAGCAGGGACTGGGAAGGAATCTATACATTTACAAAACTTGCTCTTTTTTTTAAAATAAACTAATTTTAGGCAGCATCTATGTAGGTTTTTCTCCCAGCAACTTTATTCTCTGGAAGAAAGGACTTCAAAGTAGCCCAAAATTTATAACATGGGATATATACATATAGGCACACATTCCCCAAAAAGGACATAGAGTATATAAGCTATATACTTATTAAAAATAAATAATATATATGTTGTATCAATAAAATTACACATGAAATGTGTACAAACATACACATGCATATGCAGTATATTGTGCATAGGATATGAGAGATTTTGAATTATCCCTGAGAGTATCACTAAACACCTAAAATTCAGTGGCTCAGACAGCCAAAGCTAAAATAGGGTTCCATTTATTTGATTTGTGACTTCTTTTTCCGCCTCAAGCTGTTTCCTTTCTGGCAGCTGCAGAAGAAATTTGGTGCAATTCCTCATGATGGTAGGTTGAATTTTGTATTTTCCTCTTGGCTATAACCTGAGGGCTGTTCTCAGCACCAGAGGCCAACACATTTCTTGGCTATTTGTACCTTTCCTCCATCTTCGCGGGCATGTCAGTTCTTACACTGCATTTCTCTGGTGCAGATAACACCAAGGAAAAGTTCTTTTTGAAGAATGCATGAGATTAGATTTGACTTAGCTGGATAATCTAGGAGAATCTCCTGATCTCAAGGTCGATAGCCTGAATCACATCTTCAAAAATCCTTCGTGCCTTCTTCATAGTTTAGCCCTGGACTTGGTCTGAGAAAGTTTGTTTATTAAAACAGAAAAAATTTTTGACAACTACTAAGTCCAAAAAAGCCCCGTTAACTTTTATCTATTCACTCTAATGTCCAAGATGTTGCCACAATATAGGTACTTAGGAGATGATGAAAATCGTGAGAATTTGGGACTTTACTCAATCTAGGGTCTGGGGTCCTAACTTGTTTGTCTGTTCTCTCAAAAACCTTGTAGACAGAAATCATCATTATCCTTTCACACACAGAGAAACATGTATGGAGACAGTTAATAACTCATGCAAAAACTCCATGCTTAGTAAGTACAAATAATCTTTAGGCCTTTCCTTTACACATTATAGGCTACAAGGTATTCAACTAACACTTCAAAAAATTCTATCTCCACTTAGCACTTAATGATTTTAAGTTAGAGAAACTAGTTCTCATATCTAATTTAAAATATGCCATGGGATAAATGTGGAAGGGAAGTATAGTATAGAACCTTAATGTGGTAGCAAATGTATTTATTTTATGGCTTACAATAAGTCAGAATCTATTAGTAAAAAACAAGTACGTATGGAAGTAAGAATTTAAGAAAAAGTGCTAGCTAAGCTCTCACCACCCCTGAGCCTCAGTTTCCTTGCCTGTAAATGACAATCAATGCATAAGAATACTTTTAAAACTAAATAACATAAATAAATAATGTGGTTTTATTCCCATCATTATCGTCTCATTAATCCCCCTTGCCAAATAGCCATATGTTAACTTTTCATATATCACCAGTAACCTTTACAGCAATACTACAAAATATGTGAAATTACTCCCATTTTATAGCTGAAGAAACCAGGCTCATAGATAATTAAAGACAAGCCTAAAACCATAGTGGTACCTCGGTTCACAAGGTTAATTCTTTCCACCATTCTGGTTGCAAACCAAATGGGATGAGAACCAAATCAAATTTGATGTTGTGTTCCGTGTTGACCTTATGGGGAAATTTGGTTCGTTGTTGTCCAACTTGATTTGTGACCAGAATTGCAGAAAGAATTAAGTTCATGAACCGAGGCACCACTGTAACAAATCCTCTGTCATGGGACACTAAAGGGTTGGTCTTAAACCCTCACCACTGAATGAAAAAGAAGAATTTTTAGCAACTACTGATTGACTAGGGAAAAAAACACCGTGAATTTCCTTTAAACAATATGCTATAGGAAGCCAAGTCAATAATGATTTTGCACTCAAATTGGAAAAGGCCAGGGGCTTCTCAAGTCATAGAATTTTTAGATTAAATGGAAATTCAGAGAGCAATGAATGCTTGTCTGATTCCTCTATTTTTCTGTTAAAAGAATTGAGGTCCCATAAGCTAAGGCCCTTGTCTGAGTTCTGTGATTATTCTATCCTTTTTAAACTTTGGGTGGAATCATAAAACTAAAAAACATTGCTTTTTATATAGGTTCTATTATTAGGTGACTCCTTGTTTCTCAAGGGAAGTTCTGTGACCTGATTTCTAAAGCCCCTAAGGGAGTTCAGTTAGCTGTAAATGGAGTTTGGGCATCTGCTCCATCCCAGCTCTCTGCTAAGCACATCACTTTCCCTCTTGCACTACCTGCCATTGTTTTTGCCAAATGTGTATATCACTTTTACTGTAATTAGCGTTCATCTTTATATTTTCTTTAAAGTTCTACTTGAGCTTTATCTTGAGCTTCAGTATTCATAAAATCATGATATGCTAGTTATTCTTTAAATACATATTATATATCTATTAGCATTAAAATGCTTGACATAGAAACTTCCCTGATATTATCTGATTTAATTACTGTCAAGGCCTAACATGCTATGATAATGGCTACATAACCCATTTATATTTCAATATGTTCTTATTTTATTTAAATATAGAAAACCCAAAGCTCAATTGAATAATTTAATCCAAGTCTCACAGCAGCAAAGAAGCACTAGTGGCGTATAGATTCAAGCATGCCGACTTCAAAGCTCATGCTGCAAATCATGCTCCTTATCGACACGAGCTGATAGTCAGCAGAGTACATCTTAACCAGGTCAGAACTAAAGGGTTGTAGGAACACTGATTTATCAACTTGTAGTATTGTGTTCCTGTGTGGGTGATGTTGGTTAGGGAAAACTTCTAAGGGAACAACCGTTATATCATCTTTAAGTTTTTATATTGAAAAGTATATTTGCAGAGAAATTGAAATAATAGTGCAGGGAATACTCTACAACTGTTACGGATAGTCGCCAGCGGTAAACATCCACACATTTAACTTTCACTGTGTGTGTGTCATTCTGGCTGAAATATTTAAACATAAAGTTCAGAAATTTATATCACCTCACTCAGATAGCTCAGCATGGACCCACTGAGAACAAAGACACCTTTCTACCTGGTTATAATATATTACCATATCAGAGGAAATAACATTGATATACTAATGTTAACTAAAATACAATTCACATTCAGAATTTCCCAACTGTCCCCACATTGTCCTTTATAATTGGTTTCTCTTTCTTCTGTGATCTAAGAAGACTTGTTGCATTTTTCTGCCAGTTCTTCAGTCTTTTTTCTACACTCGTGTTTCTACCTCTTTTGCCTTTCATGCATCAACATTTTTGAGTATCCCAAATCAGTTTCCATGATTAAATTCAGATTACTCTACCCTTTTTTTAGGGAAAAAGTCACATTCCTTCAGTTACGTGATTTTACAGAGTCACTTGGAAAATAGAAAACAGAGCATAGTCAGAAAACAGCAATTACTGAATAAGAAGCAGGTTTTTCTTTAGCAACCAACTGAGTTATCAATTTGTCAAGTAGAGAGAAGTAGCTTTGCTTTGTGGTAGCTGTATCCAATATTCCCAAAAGCTCTCTGTACTCAGCAATGTGAACAAATTCCCCTATTAATTTTTTTTCAAAGCCAGATTTAAAATGAACCTGATGCTGATTTACCTTATCTCCTGCCATTCTATGGGCTTGGTGTCCTGATAATTCCAGGTCCTGTACTGAGCGTGGAATGTGTAGCTGACAGTCCTTGCCTACGCTCAGAGCTCTGCCTGGTTATACATTGTAGGAGGAGGAGCAAGGTGAAGGCGGCGTAGGGCTCAACCTAGAAGTCCAAGGCTAATCTTAATAGCAGAGGTTGAATTCTGATGAGAATCAAATCAATAAATCCTTTGCCTCAGCAACCTGTGGCTCCAGTACCTTTTTTCCACCAGAAGAGAAAATGGGAGCATGTCCCTTAGGCGTAAGTTACAAATCAGAGGTTGTTACATTTGAAGGCGTGTGTTAAGTGTGGCAGCAACTGGAAACAGGTGGAAAGAGAACCCTGCGTTCTTTTGTGGAAGATGCTGGTCTTTTGAGATTTGCCAGGTAGTGTTGTGGGATGAGAAGGACAGGCGCGGGAAGCACAATGGGCTCTGCTCTGCTGAGCACTCCTAATGTGCTAATTGTGTATTAGATGTGGGTGTTGTGGCCAGGGCCGCTGTCATTAGACTGCTTACCTAAATGAGTTCTAGAGAGGCAAGTGCGTGGCTTTGTCTCTCAGTATTTACTGACTTGCTGCAATTTTCCTGTGCTTTAGTTTTTTTTTTTTGTTTGTTTGTTTGTTTGTTTTGTTTTTAAATCTGGTAAGTGAAACCAACAGAACATACACTTTGTTTTGTTGGGAGGTTTAAATGACAAATATATAAAAGTGCTGAGTGTTTTGTGAATGGTGGTTGTTATTGTTATTACTGTCACTGACTCAGTGTAAGTCAAGAGGGACTTGCTGGAAGTAATATTTATGTAGCATTTGCAAATGTGCCTTCTGGGTATCCTCTTGGACATACAATCATTTTGGGGGTTTGGGAAGTATCAAAATTGATTGAACTTAACTCTTCCTAGCAACGAGGATCACTGCTTCCACTGAGACTCACAGGAAACCAGTTTGCCACAGAGGACATGTGGCAGCCACAAATGAAGAGGCACTGGAAAAAGATGGGAGGAGAAAGTGAAGAGGTGGAGGAAACTCAGATGTGATTTGTCTTTTACTCTGCCCAGCCTTTTAAAACTTTGTACTACTTCTGCAAGTCGATACACCTAAAAATGTTTGGTTTAGAAGGTTAATTCAGTTCAAACCACAAACAGTAATGGAACCCAGCACAGGTCCATGCTCTGAGATGCATGAGACAGATAAGGCACAGTTGCCTCCTGCCAGGGATTTATAATGTATAAGGGGAGATGTATGCACATATGAGTGCAAAACACAATTATTTCTTAGCAGAGAAGAAGCACAGACAAATGTCAATAGTAATGATAGTTAATCTTTACTGAGTCCTTGCTTGGTGCCAGGTGCCTCCCAGCACTTGCCATGGATTAACAGAAGAGCTGTGGTCACTGAGCCACACTTTGGGGAGCAGCTTTGAAACAAAAATGTTAGAGTGCCCAAGTTGCTGCACTGACTTTTTGCCCTGGTTTTGGCGGGTCTTACTCATGCCCACTCGTCAGAGCCCCGGTTATTTTCAAGGGACCTGACAATCTGCAGGAAAGAGGCTTGTGCCACTGTTAGGAATGAAAGTTATCCTCTGCTGTTTACCAACCTTTGTCTTTTGAACTCTGTGAGGTTGATGAGAGTACTAAGTCCTGATAGCACCTAGCAGCTGCGTGAGCTATTCTCTCCCTTTCAAAGTGCGACTTGCCTCTTGTCTTGAGTCCCTGTGACCAGCTTTCTCTGGGTAGCCCCGGCCTTTCTGTTCTGCTCTTGCTCAGAAATGAGTGATGGCTGCTGCTTTGGGGATGAGCTAATACTGTCCCCACGTTGGAGATTGAAGGATTCTGTCAGAGTAACTGCATTCATTTATTTACTCAATCCTAGCCGCCGAGGAAGTGTACTTCAGTGGCTTCCTGGCTGTGGGACAAAATCAGGCTTTGGGCATTTAGCTGATGGAGTAAGATCTGCTTAGTGCCTGTCATTCACCTCTGTGTATTGTTCTTTTAGATTCACACATTCAAGTTTTCAGGTCACATTCTGATCATTTTTTGATTAATTGAATCTAAGTAGGTGTTAAAAAGTGCAAAGCAGGACTCACCATCCTGCCTTTGTTTTCCCTGTTATCTTTCCTTTAAGTAAAATGAGTCTGTAAATGGAAGGAAGGAACCAGCTGCACTCTTTAAGCCCGCTGCATTCTTCTCTGATAAGGTCATGTGTCAGTGAGGGCAAAGGTATCCCTAGGAACTAAATCAAATGTATTCAAGCTTGACCAAGCCAGGGATGCAATAGAGTATCTGAAGGTTCCAATGCCTAGAGAAGGTAGTGTTTTTCACAATTCTGGAACCAAATTTCGGTATCCCAGCTTCCCAAAGAGGGAGGGCAAGCTCTGCGTACTTTTCCCAACCTCTGTACAGATGTTTCTCTGGTTCACACTGTCAGCAACTCTTGTGTGTATTTCTGACCTCATTCGAGTCAAGACGGGCTCAAAAAGACCAGCTGATAATGCTCCCCTACTCATTCGCCTCTGGTGACTTTTTAGTCACCCTTAAGAGGAAACCCATATTTTTCACCATGGCCTAAAGGCCAACCTGATGCAGACCAGCTCTAAGACTGACTTTCATCCTCTCAACCTAGCAAACGGGCCTCAGACTATCTCACCTGATTCAGTCTTAGCATCTGTGTGCTGGAGAAGCCTCAGTCAAAGTGCCCCTTTGCCAGCTTTTACTGTCACTGTCACTGATTCCTTCCTTCCCTTCACTGGGATTGAGGCTCTATTTAAAGTAGAACCAGTTATACCTCCAACTCATGTTTGGCCTGTTACTCTGCTTTATTTTCTTCATTATGATTCTGCTTTAAGTTTTATCTTCTATTTTTTATTGTTTGCAACTTTTTCTACCAAATTTAAGTTCTATGAATTTGGAGACTTACCTACATTGTTACTCTAAGTGTCTGGTGTGTAGTTAATGAAGGCTTTCTTGTAATAGGACAGGTATTTGGCGCTGTTATTAGGGCATTTACTGATTTAACATTCAGAAATGCAGTATTTACAGTATTTGCATTTTGCTAGATACCAGCTATAACTGTGAATGACATAAACAAGAACTCTCTTCTTGGTGGCTTACATTCTATGAAAGAAACAGAGAGTAGAAGAAAACAGTGAGAGGCAAACTCAGTAGAAAAGATACTCAGATATACATTCTTGATAGAGGTGCCATTTCGACTGAAGCCTAAAGCATGGGCTGGCAGGAGAGAGATAGAAGTATAATGATATCACAGTATAGTAATGTTGAAGAAGGAAAGATTTGAGGTTGAAGAATAAGAGATGTTTGGTTAAGGAGAGAGCAGAGATAGAAAGCAGAGGAGAGAGCATCCATGGTCATGTCATGCAGGACCCATAGGCCATACGAAAAAGTTGGCATTTACCGAAACACAGTGGGAAGCCTTGTATTTCGCCTTGGAGGGATTAACAATGGGAATGATACGATCCAGTATGTGTTTAAGATTACTCTTGCTGTTGAGTGCAGGCCAGATGAGTGTCCTGGAAGGGCATCCAGCATAGAAGAGAGGCACGTTAAGGGGTTGTCATAACAGTTTAGGCTTGCTGTGGACCACCAGAACTAATGGTAGCAGAGAAAGAGAAGTAACAATTCAATACATATCTTGGTGAGTAAAGGTGGGATTTGTAGATAACTTCTTTGAGGAGAGTAGTCAGGATGACTGATCATTTGCTTGCTTATTAAACTGTGATAACTGTGATACCACTTAATGTCATATATGGTAGATTGTTCAATCACCTGAGTAATAATCCAAGTTTGTCTACTGGATCTCATGCAAGACTACAATAAAATAATCAGATTTTGCTTTACTTTTTATTATTTGTTTATTATTTTATTAGAACATATTTGTGGTACATAAAGTTTACATTCAACTTGGGGAGTAGGAATACGTATATAACACAGCTTATTTCCTTTTTAAATTTCTTTCTCCCTCCTACCCACTTCCCTTCTTCTGCCTTTAAATACCCTTTTCCCATTTTCATTCTTGTTGTTGTTATTATTGTTAGCTCATGTTTATGGTATACAATGTTTACACTCATTGAGGTTATTAGTTCCTTCGCGCGATGTTATCTTAATTTTTCTTATTTCCTCGTCCTTTTCCCCTTCTCCCTTGTCCTTGGTCTCCTTGACCCCTTCCCATTTGCAAGAGATCTATCCTCTTTTTTCCTGCTACTCATCTTTTTTATGATCTTTGTTTTTTGTATTTTGCCTTAGTCAAATTAGAACTACCACACAGTTTTGAAGCTTGTGTATCTTATTTCAGTTGAAACTGAATTTTCCAGGTGTGTATCTATTTTCCTACAAATATCTCAAATTTCTCCTTCTTTATAGCTAAGTAGCATTCTATTATGTATAGATACCACATTTTCTTTATTCATTTTTCAGTTGATGACAAATGGCTGCTTCCAGGATTTTGCTATTGTGATTATGCTGCTATACAGATTGGTATGCAAGTATTGCTGTAATATGATGCTTTTAGCTTTTTGGGGAAGATACCCAGAAAGGATATAACTGAATATAATGGAATTTCTAATTTTAGTTCTTTCAAAACTCTCCATATGATTTCGATAATGGCTTACTGATTTACATTTGCAGTTTTGTGATCGTGGCCATTTTGGGTATTTAGACAATTTTGACAATTTTGTCTCTGCCTATCCAGGAGCAGGAGACATCTTTCTATTTTCTGATGTCCTCTTCAAATCTCCTTTGTTAGAATTTTCTTTGAAGACATCTTTCACTTCCTTGCTTAGGTTAATTCCTAGGTATTTACTTTTTTTTTTTTTTGCTGCTACTATAAATGTATATGTTATATACATATAAATGTTTTTATAATTTCTTTCTCAATGAGTTCATTATTTGTGTGCACAAATGCTGTTGGTTTTCTTGTATTTTTGGCCTGCTGTATAGCTAGTTAAAGCTGTAAAGCTAGTTATTAATTCTTTTTTTTTTTTTTTGTCTTTTTCATTTTTATCGGTACCGGGGATTGAACTCACGACCACCTGTTTGCAAGGCAGGTGCTTATGCTGCTGAACTAAATCCCCAGCCCCCCCGCTAGTTATTAATTCTAAGAGTTTTTGTTGGAATTCCTTGAGTCTTCTATACAGAGTGTCATGTCATCTACAAATATTGGTAATTTGAGTTCTTCCTATATGTATCCCTTTTATTTTTTTCTCTTGCCTGATTGCTCTGGCTAATATTTCAAGTACTATGTTGAATAGAAGGAGTGATAGTAGGAATCTCAGTCTCTGTTCTGATTTTAGAGGGAATGCTTTGAGTTTTCTCTATTTAATATGATACTGGCCATTGTTTTGTCATAAATTATTTTATTTTGTTTTACTTTATTG